TGGGCGGTGTAAGCCGGTGGGGAGCCTCCTAGACGTAGCTTAGCCCAAGCTAGCCGCCCCCCACATCTTCTCGCGCAGCCGAGATCTCAGACAGGTGGCTGGGTGACAGTTCGCAAGAGTCATAGCTCCAAACAAATGTCCATGGAGCATCACCTGCCTGTTCACGTTTCAAATTGATTTTCCCCACTCAGCGACACACCAACTGACAAAACAACTCTGGTAATTGGTGACCCATAGTCAGAAACGTGAAGCTAGAGACACCGGCGGCCATAGTCAAATGTTTTCTTGGGGCCAGAGCGGGTGACATTGAATCCTACTTGAAGCTGCTGACTAAGGATAAGCGTAAATACAGTAAGGTTGTTATTCACGTCGGCGCTAATGACTCCCGACTTCGCCAGTGGGAGGTCACTAAAATTAATGTTGAGTCGGTGTGTAAATTCGCTAAAACAATGTCGGACTCCGTAGTTTTCTCTCGACCCCTACCCAATATGACCAGTGATAACAGGTTTAGCCGCATGTCGTCATTCAACCGCTGGTTGTCTAGGTGTTGCCCAGAAAATAACATGGGCTTCATAGATAACTGGAAAACATTTTGGGGAAAACCTGGTCTGATTAGCAGAGATGGCATCCATCCCACTTTGGGTGGTGCGGCTCTCTTATCTAGAAATCTGGACGAGTTTATTTTACAACCTAAATTATGACAACCCAGAGTTGAGTCCAGGATGCAGGGTCACAGTCTTACATGCCTCTCTGCTGTCTCCTTGCAGCTGCTACCCACCCAACGCTCCCAGTACCCCATAGAGACTGTGTCTGCCCCCCGCCCACCTAAATTATATAAATCAAGAATCAACTCCAGAGGAGTTATTCATAAGAACCTAATTAAAATTAAGATGACTCCTCTTATAGTAGAAAGTAATAGGACAATCAAATGTGGACTATTAAATATCAGATCTCTCTCATCTAAATCTCTGTTAGTGAATGATTTGATAAGTGAACATCACATTGACTTATTGTGTCTTACTGAAACATGGTTACAGCAGGAAGAATATGTCAGCCTAAATGAATCCACTCCACCTGGTCACAGTAACTGTCACATCCCTCGAAACACAGGCCGAGGTGGAGGTGTGGCAGCGATCTTTTGACTCAAGCCTATTAATCAATCGTAGACCTAAACATAGTTATAAATCATTTGAAAGCATCACTCTGAATCTCTCACACCCAAACTGGTTTATTTGACATTACTTTGTAGAAACCTGTTTTCACTTTGACATTAAAAAACTTTTTTGTAACTTTTTTTTGTCAAAAAAGCCAAATTATATCGAGCATGACTGATTTATAAAATAAAAAAAAGGGTAAAATATCCAAGTGGGTGAAAAGATTTTATAGACACTGTATATGTCATTATAACTCATTTGAGAGCTTCACTCTGTATCTCTCACACCCAAACTGGAAAACTCAAAAGCCCGTTCTATTTGTTATTGTATACCGTCCACCTGCTCCTTATTTAGAGTTTTTAAGTGAATTCTCAGACTTTGTCTGATTTAGTGCTTAGTACAGATAATCATATTATAAAATAATCATAGTAGGCGACATTAATATTCAAGTAGATGCTGACAATGACAGTCTCAACAATGCATTCTGTTCATTATTAGACTCAGTTGGCTTTTCTCAAATTGTAAATAAACCCACTCACTGTTTTAATCACATTCTGATGACATACAGCATCAAAACTGAACACTTAATAGTTTTCCCTCAAAACCCTCTTCTGTCTGACCATTTTCTATGCTCTCCATTTTATTTTTATGTGCCATCATTACATATCATTAACTGTGTCTCCTCTCTCCTGTAGTGTGCCCGCTCTCTCTGTCCCTGTACCTTTCTGTAGGCAGCCCTGGCTCTGGAGCTGTGTGTTTCTGATGAGCAGTCCCCCACCACACCAACCAGCCCAGTGTTTGTTTGTTGTTGTCTTTGTTGTGTATTGTTGCTTTTCTTTTCTCTCTCCTCTTACCCACTCACTCCAATCAGCCAAAGCAGAAGGCCAACCACCTGGAGGTTTCTTCTGTTAAAGGGAGTTTTGAATGTTGCCAACAAGAGGGGGATTTGTTGTTATTTTTTTCTCTATAATTTTAATAATAGTAAGATCAAGGTCAAGGTCAAAGTGTTTATTTGTCATATGCACAATTAGGAAACGTGTTTCCCTGTACAATGAAATTCTTACTTTGCCGTCCACATGAATGCCACAAAATACAAATGAAATATAAAGTAGATAAATAAGTAACACAAAATCTAAGGCATTTTAAGCAGAAAATGCAGCAATATAATAACAAATATATAAGAATATAACAGAGAGAATGTGCAGCAGTCAACAGTCAGTGTGCAATTATGCATGTGCAATTATGCATGTGCAAACTGAGAATGTAAACAGTAAATGACGTATTTCCTGGTAACAAACTCCTCAGCTGTTTAGGAGTCTGGTGGCAGAGGGAAAGAAAGAGTTTTTCAGTCTGGAGGTCCTACACTTCACACTTCTGAACCTCCAGCCAGAGGGTAGAGAGACGAACAGTTTGTGTCTGCATTCTGGGTCCATCCCGTAGCCAAGGCCTGACAAGGAGGGCCCACACAGGCTACATGGGCCAGGCTAGCTTGGATGTTTTCCATGGTGCGGAGCTGCGCTTCCAATTTGTTGAGCCTCAATTGAAATGCTGCTAGAATCTGATATTTATTACAAGTACCATTATCGCAAAAGGAGGCAGAGGAATAACTGAACATGCGACACTCAGAGCAAGAGAAAAAAGGAGAGGAAGAGGGGGAAGGCATTGCTCTCAACTAAGCTACTAACTTAGCTAACTTCTAGACTAGCTGACCTAAAGTAGCAACTTAAATTGGAAACTAGCAAAATATTTGACATACTGTATATGTAGTCACTATCGGTAATTATGAATCTGAAACAACCACCATAAAGTACGGTGTCCCACAAGAATTGATTCTTGGGCCCCTTCTATTCACCATGCTTCCACTTTTATGAATTTTACAGGAATGTAGTGTTGTTTATCATAGCTCCACAGCCAACACCCAGATACACCGATCAGACAGGACAATGAATACAGCTGCATTTTATTGATGGCATTTTGAATGCACAGGGATACTGTTATGAGATCCTGAGGCCCATTGTTGTGCCATTCATTCATGACCATCACCTCATGTTGCAGCATCATAATGCACGGTCACATGTTGCAAGGATCTGTACACAATTCCTGAAAGCTGAAAACATCCCAGTTCTTGCATGGCCAGTATAATGACCAGACATGTGAGCATGTTTGGGATGCTTGGGAAATAGGCTTTTTGTGTACATAAAACAAGTCGTAGACCTTTGAGTTCATGAAAAATGGGGGCAAACACAAAAGTGTTGCATTTATAATTTTGTTCAGTGTATAAATCAACATCTTTACAATTTCAGTACATGTGAACTTTATCCAATGTTGTTTCAGAATATTGGAACAATTCTATCCATGTCCCAGTGACCCAATTACTGGGTTTCACAGTGCTGTAGTGATGACACTTACTTCAGGTGGAAGTCCTCCCAGATATGCAGGCCAACTACAGGAGTAGGCCATCAGTCTGCCTGTAGCATTCAAAGCCTTGGACATCAGAGGGTAACCTGTGACACCAGATAAGGATGATCTCTAGCTGGTACATGATCTCCTGTTCCTTCTAGTGCATACAACTATGCAACAGGTTAGTAGATTCTCTTACCCAACATTTGTTCTACAGGATTAGAATAACAGCCATCAAACTTCAGATAGTCAACCCCCCAGGTAGCAAAGGTCTGGGCATCAATCTCAATCTTATCCAGAGTGGTGCCAGGAAATCCCATACATGTGAGAGTTCCCATGTCTGCATAGATTCCTAGCTTCAGTCCACGGTCATGGATATACCTTGCCAGTTTTGCAATGCCGCCTGGGAACCTGGAGGAAATCAAGCACATGCTGCTTCTTTAAGGAAACTTTACTAAAACACCTCAGTGTTTTAGTTACAGCCCCAAATGTTTCAATTACACTGAACTTAATTTTGGCTTTGAGAGATGCATTGACACCTTTTTGACTTCTATTTAGAATGTCTCTCAAAAAACAATCACCTGTGTATGAAGGCCACGATATGCTAACCCCTGGACATAGAAATAAAACTTAACCTCTCACACTAAGGTGGCATATTTGAAACATATTAAAGCCCCAAACACTGCTTGAGGTTTTATGACGGAGATATTCACTCAGTAATTGACTACCATGAACCTGCGAACAGAGTTCCCTGCAGACCTCCCTCTTTCATGTTATTAAGACCCCAAACCTCCCAAATAACAACAACCTGCAGTTATTGTGGCAGCTACCTCCTTAAACCCTCAGATGTTACTACTGAGAAATTTATATAAACCAGTATACTCTGGCTCTTTGAGGAAGTGTTACATTTTGTCTGAATTAACCAATGAAAGCTGTGTCACTGGACACTTGAGACCATATTTGTTTTGCACAGTATTTAGTTGACATAAGATGTTATTAAGGATAGGATATTTAAACAATAGTGTGTATTATGTAACAAGTAAACAGCTGGATATTTTAGATAAAATCTTTTTCTGATACAACTCTCTAAACACCACCTCCCTTCACACAGCCAGCCGGTTTGTACGGAATTCACCCAAGCAACAAGCCCAATCAGAAAAGTGCTGCTTGTGTTTTCACCATGAGGTATCCGCAGCCAGGCTGCTTGTTAACACCGCTGAGTTTCCACTGCCTGTTTTAACTTTCTGAGACACTGTTGAGAAGGTTGGCATACTATTAACATCGTTGATTGTTAAACTATATGATTAAACAGTATTTATCAATCAAATCTTTACTTTATACATGGAACATGATTTTTTATTACTTTCTCAGTGTCTTTCTAATTTTTCATCACACTCCTCTGTCATACACACACAATTTCACTTCCCCTATTCAGGGATGTGTGTCTTACTTCCTCTTTTCTGTGACTCAGCATTCTCCACTCTTTGTGATGAGATTGGATATAAAAGCACTTTTCACCATTCCATGTAATACAATCATTTAACATTTTATTCTTACACATTCTCTAATGATTATTTCAAATGAAACACACACATAAATCATCTCATGATTATCCTTACTTATTACTTTATGCATTCTGCCATAGCATTTTAATAATTCTTCTCTCTCTCTCAACTCCTCTTGCTGCTTCTTGTACACATCCTTGCTGTTCTTGTGTGAATTCTGACTGAAAAGAGACAATTTGTTCAATAGTCTCCTACAGCCCTTGTTCTAAGGTTTCTGAAGGTTTCTGATGCCAGATCATCAGAGGCCAGTTCTGCTGTTATGGTCTGTTTCCTGTGCTCCTTGGCTCTCTCTCCGGGACCCGTTTTTACAGGTTTGCCAACACCTGGCTTTTAAATATTTGTCAGCAGGGTATAAATTTCATGGTGGCCGTGTGGCCATTGCCGTCATGCCCTCTATCTTTGTCATAGTTACATGGCCACAGTGGCTGGTGTGCCCTCATCAGATGTCAAGTCAAGTCAAGATTTTTATTTGCCATTTATGCATAAACAGACAGTCTAGGCATATAGACGTGAGGGAGCTCCTAACAGATAATGAGGTAAGTTTGCATAATATGTTGTAGAATTTAATGTTATTCACTCTTTAACACTGCTTGTTAACATCAATGTTTTTACAACGGTTGGTGAACTTCTGATGTCTAGGTTTGATACCTCTGTGTGTAGCTCATAGTGCATATCAATCAAGCTAGAGGTGCTGCGCATGAAAAATTCAAGTCTGTGAGGTTTCCCCTGTTTTTACTGAGTTAGCAGATCAAGGTATGTAATGTTTGGCTCTATGTATAAGCTGTGGGCAGGAGGCATGGGAGCAACTCATATGCCACAGGACATGTTGCAATGTGTCCCAGGGTGAGCCTGCCAACCAGCAAGAGTCCAAAATGGCCTCCTCTTGTAGTTCCTTCACCTGGAGTAGCATGTCCTCGGTCTCCAGGAGGTGCGCCAGATGGGACCGGTTCCAGATCAGTGCCTCCATATGTGCACATAGCCGTATATGCTCTGCAGGATACTGGAGATTGTAAAACTGGTGGCAGAAACTGCTCAATTCCTTCCACAACTCCCACACCTCATCTTCCTCGCTGGCTGAGTTTATATTTGGGCCAGATTGTACTATCAGGATTGGCACGTAAAGCAGCTGATGATATTGAGGGTGAACTCAATTAAATAGCCAGACGAGGATACGTAAAAACACCGTCTCTTTAATAAGAGCACTTACAGACAACACGATAACACAAAGCCGAGCACTGAGTCAGCACATAACACTCACAGGTCATTTATACAGTCCAAGGTCAAAACCAGCAAAACTCACACAGCCAAGGGATCTAAAATGATAGGTCAAAAAGGGAAGTCCGATAATCCAATACACAGAGAAGCAGTCTGAGTCAGAAGGGCAAGGCAATATAAAGTGGTCCAAGGCAATCCGAAGTCAAAAACAGGAAACACGGGAAACAAGAGTAATGCTGGAAAGTCTGACATGGGTAGAGAGAACAATCTGGCAGGTTACTGGTGGGGGAAGGTTGCTTATAATGGGGTGAAAACAGGTGCAAACAATCAGAAGCAGGTGAAAACAATGAGTGCCGATTAAAGTAAAAAGTCCAAAACTGAGGTGAAACAAAAACAGGAAGTAATGTTGTAGTGGTTAAAAATAAATCAGATTCCAGAAGAACTATGCCACAGAACCGCATTTTCAGTGACTTATTGGTACATGGGTAATGATAAGGAAGTAAATCGAATCTAACTTGAGTTGAAACAGGGAGGTTAAAATAGTATTTTGAAAAATTAGTTTTGTTGCCAGTTGCATGGTTTACATTTATACATTCTTCAAGAAGGAGTCATGGCGTCTGAAATGATAAACACGTCTCCAGTTATAGTGATTGGGAATAAAAATCTGTTGCTGGCGGAGGAAATTTATAAACTATCTCAAAAGTGGAGCAGGAGAACGAGACACTTGTCAGTATTCTGGCCCTCAGATGGAACATTTAATAAACATTTGTGTGCTGAGATGAAAAAGTTGATAATTAATTATAAAGCTGAAGATAAATCTGCAAAGCGTGTTTGTAAACGGTTACACCTAAACTCCTCCATTCTGTATATCCAATGTCACACCAATGTGAAGGGGCGCTTTGTTCCCCGGCTGGAAAAAGTTGGAAGAACAAGGTGCTTGTGACTCCTGTTGAGCAAGCCAGACCTCCTCCATCTTCAGTGCCTGCTGTTGTCATCCCCCAGCTGATATACCCACGGCAAGGGGGGTGGGCTGGAAGGCCTCAGAGGACAAGAAGGTTTCCTGCAGGCCAAAGAACACGTTGCTTCCACTGTGGAAAGTGGGGACATGTGAGAGACAGATGCCCCGAGTGGTCTCATGGTGGACAGACCCAGGGTCAAGAGGGCAACCCTGGGACAAGGGGACTTATGAAGAAAGTCTCTTAAGTTTTCACCACTGGGACAACAATAAAGACAGTGTGAGTCATGTTGACTTTGTCAAACTATTTCCTGTAGTCCAAGAGCCAGGAAAGAGACTGCTGAGCTGTAAGAGCTGGTGGCTGGAATGTGACATTGTGGTTCTGACTGCATAAAAAACCAAATGACTGTGGGGGCAAAAGACCAAGAGTGAGACAAGCTGAGGCCATGGTGTATTGGTCTGGATGTGGATAACACCTTTATAAATTCAGTTAGAATGTGAATGAACTTACTAATGATGATTTGTCAAGAGGCCTCACTCCCTGTCTGTCACATTCACTGCACTCTCCAATATTCAAAACTAAATTTAAAGTACACTCATATATTTGATTTAAGAAATAGAAGGTTCAAATATAATCCTCTCTTATCACAATGGAGAAATAGGTAGCTGTAATAAGAAGGAAAAAAGGAAACAGCTCTTCACATGTATTGTGGTAAGTACAGATTATGAGTTAAAACAAAGAGGTTTAATGATTATACAGTGAAATCTATGCAGCAATACTTCAATCTTGTCAGTAATGATACTGAATAAAAGTAAGTATGGTGTAGTACATTCTCTACATTATCTAAGCAGTGGGTTAATTCTCTTAGATCTTTAATTGAGGTTGTAATACATTTTCAACTGAAGTTCTAAATTTAGATGCACTGTTGTTGAATGTTCCACCTGAGGTCAAGTGGTTTAATATGATTGACTTCTGTTCTGCATCTTTCAGAGTGTCGCTGTTTTCATGTGTTTAATAAATTTAGCAGGATTACCTGAGGAAATTGGCAGGTAAGATCTCATGTACTGTTCTCCAGTGCATTGAGGAAATGATGTATCGGACTATGAGATGTGTTACCAGGACTTCATGACTCTTTGATTGTTTGCTTCATGATTTTCTAACAATGTTAGCTGAATAGGGACAAAGCTTCACTGTATAAATTACTGTACTGTAAGGAACAGGTGAAATATATGGACAGCTGGTCAGAGGAGGGACAAGTGGTGTCCTCTTACAGTTAAAGACAGTAAAGTAGCTGGGGCTCCTGGACCGACCATGGTAAGAAAAATACATTTTGTGGGGGTGAACATGAACTGTTGAATCAATCATTGTTACAGTACACACTGGACTTCACTCTCCCAGACTATGTGAAATTATCTTTAAAAGACAATTTACCTGAAATAATTGAAGTGTGGCTTCTAACTAGCTCAGTTAGCATTTATGTTTTATTGTGTTCTTTCATGTTTTGGACGCTGATCTTCTCTCTTTAGGCGTGGTTCAGCTTGCGGTTTTACCTAGTTGCTTTGAAGTAGCCATCAATTGAAACTCTACATTTTCAAAACAGCTAACAACCTTGCCTAGACAGTGTCACTGATGGTAAAATGACACATTTCATTTGTAAAAGGCTCCAGTCATGCTAAAACATTTAAAATAGGTAACAAAAGCAAATTTTGCCTCCAAATAACACAACTTGCAAACAAGTATAGGAGCTCTTTTAGTCAGTCATTATGCAGTGGACGACCAAATACAGACTACACCATTCAGTGTGAATCAGTGCACCATTGCTTGTCACTGTAGCCTATAGCCGGTGTCCTTTGTCTTTCTATATAGGCTATGTCAAATTAATCTTTTTGCAAAGATCACCGCTTCCCTGATTTCATGTAGCCTTACTATGTTTACAAGGGCTGCCCCCTGCTCAGCACTAAAATCGAATTGATAGTGAATTCTTTATCTCAGTAACAATAAATTTAATGTACTGATATATGAATTAAAGAAACCTAGTGAATGGTTGAGAAACAAAAAGCAGAGAAGCTTTGACTTTTGGAAATAGTTGAGTAATTATCAAAGAGGTTGTAGATTAGTTTTTGTTAATTGCAAAATTGGTTAGTTAATTGATTGTTTTAGTGTTGGGACCCTGTAGTTCTTCAAGAGGGTCTGGCAAGGATGTAATAGGAGTCCTTAGATTTTCATTTTCACAGTGAGATAGGGGATAAAAGGATAACATTATGACAAATACATTAGTGAGTGTACAGGGCGAGGGGAAAGCGAATTGAGCAAATGGAGGATACTGTACCTCTGTGTTCTGAATGTAATGGGATGTATGGACATACAGTGGTTATTTCTTATCATGTTATACTGTAAATCTTGTGACTAAATTCAGTACAGGAGGATTCTCTTCAGGAGGTAACCTGGATATAAGGTAAAGTTTACTGTTGTTTGCACTTCTGGTTAAGTTGTCACAACCTAATTAAATTAGATGTTTCATCCAGATTTAGTAATATTTTCATGCAGATGCAAGTACATTTTTCTGCTTATAATACACTTTTCTTCTTATTGACAATGGATAAATGATAGTTTTTTTAGTTTTTGTGTGTTTTCTGCTCAGTGTGTGTTAACCCTCGCTGGATTGCATGTATGGATGTTGAAATCTCTTCCTACAGAAGTCACAGATTGGCCCTTAAACCCACACTTGTCACCTTCTGATGAATGAGAGATAAAAATATTTTAGTTTCAAATTCTGATTAATTGTTGAGAGGTTGTTTAGCTTTAAAGATAGGAGATTTAGGTGTAGTCTATAGAGTGCTGCTTTGTAAGGTTAACACAAGTTTTGGCTTCCTGATAAGGAAATGAGATTTTGTGTTAGACTACTTAATACTATGTGCAGGAGTATTGGCTCCTGTGTGGTCTGTGTTGTTTGTGTTTCCTCTTTGCAGGACAAAGAGGCCTTAAAGGACAGAGAGCCCAAGATGAGTGACGGAGATGTCGTGTATGTGAAAGTGCCTCGGAGGAGGAGAGAGCCCGCCTTTACGAAGGAGGCCCGTACATGGTGAAAGCCCCCAGGACAGAGATGGCTTGGAGCTGATCCTGATTCCATGAGGAGACGATGTGATCCAAGGGAGTCCTTGGATGAGGAGGGAGAGAAGCTGATGCTCACCTTGATGACAATACTGGTTATGACCCAGTTGTGTTCTGACCCTCATGAGGAGGGACTCAGAGGTACTGAGATCAGTCATGTAGTCAAGAAGTCGTGAGAGAGAGACATTGCAGCCGTGACAAGATTGAAGTATTGCTGCATAGATCAGTTCAGTTCATAGAAAGCGAGTGGTGACAGAGTGAAACTGCAGGGAACTGAACTGATCAAAGGACAATGGACTTGGATGTTATATTTTACGCATTCATGTTGTACACAATTCTGCATTGTAAAACCCTATCCTGGACTAATATCTACAGTATGGCTTTTATATAGTCAGAAACAACACAAAACATACACAATTCATGCATAGCAGTTAGTTACCTTAGAAGTTAGTATCTTGTCATTCATATATTGTCACTGAGTATTTTCATAGCTCATCTCTTAGTAGAAGATTTTTGGCTAGAGCTTTATATAAGTAGTTTAGCTACATTACAAATGTCTTGTGTTATAGTTATGTTACATTTTGAATTCAGTTTCAGGATTTAGTTTGCTGCAGGCCTCGTTGGTGACCGCCCAAAAGGGAAGACGGTTTTCCCCAGCATTCGTGATCATTGGGGTTTTTACGTCTCAAAAGGAAAGGATGGGGGTCGTCCAGAAATTTTGCCCGTCAGGGTTTTTGTCTGGACTTGGAGCGAACAGAGTTGTAGCAGAATTGAAGCTGTTTGTTTAACAGTACAGATGTGTGTGTAATTGAATCTGTGGTGTTATGTGGGGGAAAGAGGATCATCTAGTCGGTTATTCTTTTTTCTCTATGACTGTTCATTCTCAGTGTGTTATAGATTCAATTAGAAAATATTAGAAAATAAGCAAAATTAGAACTTGGAAATTACGAAGTAGAGAGTTTGGTCATGCTAATACAGTATTTATAGTGCGTACGAGCATGTTTCTAAAGTGTAGGAAAATGGTTTAGTAGAGAATTGTTCTGTTAGATCAAAAGTTTGTCTTTAAAATAGAAGTTGATCTCTATTTTCCTTTTGGATGAGGTAGGAATATCAGGTTTAATTAGTGATTTGTAGTGTTCCTTGGGTTCATTGATTAGTATTAGGAAGTATTAGTATCCGATTAGGAACTGATGTATTCAGATATCTGTGTTTATGAATGTTTCTGTCATGAACTTGTGTCTTATAAGGGGAACAGTTATCTCATGCTGGTTGTTTATTTTTGTTTATTTCTGTTTACTTTTATGTCCATGTTTGTTCATTTGTCTGACTGTTATGAATGGGAAGTTATGTGTTATTTTATACAGTTGATTTGTTCACCATAGTTAATTACTACTGACGTTGCAAAGGTGTGAGACGTTAGAGACTTGACTGATTGAGTTGTTTAAGTTGGGATTCACTAGGGTATGTGAGAAAGACTCTGTTAAGGTTAAAGGTTAATTGAGGAGTTGTTAGTTCTGTAATACGGAAATTATTTTAGATTTAATTTTAGCTGTAGGAAGAGGCCAGTGCTTAACCACAGCTGTTAGAGTTTAGAGGCGTTAAAGTCTCAGGCCAACATGGTCATATTTTGATTTTCCCTATTCTGAGCTGATGTGAGTTGGAAAACAGGAACAAGATGTTTCCTGTTTTCGAAGTACATCTCAGGGTGTTGTCTCCCGAAACTGGAGACAGGAAGTTAGGTTCAGAAATAGACGCAACAGCATAAGGGAGGCTGCGGATAAGAAAGGAGTGAGCCTGAGAGGAGAGAGGAGAAGGACCATGCTGCAGTGAACAGTAGACGATGTACTTTTTGGGGACCCAGCCGGCTGGGGAAGATGCTGACTCGGGACTGATAACAAATGACATGACCTGACTGACTGGTGCTCCGACAATCTTTAGGCTTTATCTATTCCATCGTAAGAGGAGAGTCTCTGTTCTCTGATCTCTGTTCTCTGTTCCCTACCTACAAGAGTATCTGCTTAAATACTACTCTATCCAGAATAATTGTAATATTAAATGATCCTTTAAATTGTAATGGTTTGTCTGAATTAATTCAGTCGGTATATCACTCTTGCCACGACAATGTCAAAATAAAAGCATGAGAATGGAAACAGGCGGGACAGAATCATGACAGTTTTCACTGTGCCAGACATAATGCTGGTCCTAAAATATCTGCACCTGTCAGAGAAATTAAATGTCCTTTCCTCTGTTTTCCATCCATGTTTCAGATCAGGGGTCAATTTAATATTCCTTGGAGTCCAAATATGCACGGATAATGCCATGTACTATGTAATAAAAGTGTGCAGTTATTAGTATTGCCAATGCAGCAGCATGAAATCTCTCTGCATATTTCCCTTAAATAGTTCAACAAGCTTGTGCACTATAAGTTGAACCTGTATGTTATATTTATACAATGAACGGATCAACACACCATAGTTTGTAATGTTACTCTTTAGACTGTATACATATAACTGTATACAAATACATACAACATGTTATTTGTCTATTGCCCAGTCAAGTGGCCTGCCATTCAGAATATGAAATGTATGGTCTTGTTGTCAGCTATCAGATCTGCCCAAGAATAAAATCTGTCTGCTGAATATAAATCACAGTGCAAACTCAATGGAAAATTTTGCCTATTGGGATTATGAATGCAGCAGTGTCCTTTAGGTGGTAATTTGGATAATTTAAATAAGTTAACTGAACATTTCTACTTTAGAGCTGTCAAGACAAATGATTGCACAGAAATGGATGTTAATGGAACAGACATGCTTAATATGCAAAGTGAGGGAAGCAGACCAACCTGGTGGGTTCAGGTTGCAGCCTCCCTTGTTCATCTCTCAGCTTGGACATCCAGCAGTCATCTATAATTACATACTCATAGCCCAACTCCCTCCAGCCATCCTCAACTAGCCGATCTGCCATGTCTCGGAACAGATCTTCGCTATGGACAGAGCAGAAGAAGGCAGAATGTTTCAGCATGTTTTGGTTTTGAGCAATACAAATGGAGAAGCCAGGAATCAAACCACCAACCCTCTTGGTCATCTCAAAACTGAAGAGTTGGTGGTTTGATTCTTGGCTTCTCCAGTCCACATGTTCAAGTGTCCTTGAGCAGGACACTGAACCCCCAGTGATATCACTGGTCTGTGAATGTGTGTGCGGTTGGGAGTGTGAATGGCTGAATGGGTATATAGTGTGAAAGCACAGGAGTGTGCTGCAATGCATACAAAACCACTGTACAAATTTAACTCCATTAACCATTTTGGTGTTTTGTTTTTTTTTAAGTCAGATTTTCTGCATTCTTTGCATTGTTAACTTCATCAAGGTTGTTATGTGTATGTTCATGTATTGCTCATGTTGTGGGGACATGACATCTGTTTGGGGGGGGGGCTTTTCCTGAAGTCCACTGTCATCTCCACTGTTTTGAGCATGTTTAGCTCTAGTCGCAACCACACTATAGGACCAGCTGCTCAACCTCCCCTCTGCAGGCTGACTCATCACCGTCTCGGATGAGACCAATGACTGTTGTGTCATCTGCAAACTTTAGGAGCTTGATAGAGGGGTCCTTTGAGATGCAGTTGTTGGTGTAAAGTGAAAACAGCAGAGGGGAGAGCACACATCCCTGGGGGTGCCTGTGCTGATTGTCCAGGTGCTGGATGTGGTTTTTCCCAGCCTCACCTGCTGCTTCCTGTCTGTCAGAAAGCTAGTAATCCACTGACAGGTGGGGGCGGGCACAGTGAGCTGGGTCAGTTTGGAGGAGAGGATGTCCAGGTTGATGGTGTTGAATGCTGAGCTGAAGTCCACAAAGACGGCCTGTGCATAGGTCCCTGGGGAGTTGAGGTGTTGCAGGATGTAATGCAGTGCCATGTTCACTGCATTGTCCACTGACCTGTTTGCCCAGTAGGCAAACTGCAGCGGGTCCAGCAAGGGGTCTACAATGTCCTTCAGGTGGGCCAGCACCAGTCTTTCAAAGGACATCATAACTACAGATGTCAGGGCAACAGGTCTGTAGTCTGTAGTTGCAGCCTCAAATACACTCCAGTCTGTGCAGTCAAAGCAGGCCTGTAGCTCTGACTTAGCCTGCTCAGTCCATCTCTTCACTGTTTTGACCACAGGCTTTACAGCTTTTAGTTTCTGCCTGTAGGTTGGAATAAGATGGACCATACAGTGATCAGAGGGTCCAAGGGCTGTGTGGGGGACAGAGCGATAGGCGTTTTTAATTGCTGTGTAGCAGTGGTCCAGTGTGATTTTGTCCCTGGTGGGACAGGTGACGTGCTGCCTGTATTTGGGCAGTTCGTGGGAGAGATTTGCTCTGTTAAAGTCCCCTAGAACAGTGAGTGGAGAGTCAGGATGTTCTAGCTCCAGGCTAGTTATCTGTTCTGCCAGGAGCTGTAGTGCGCTAGCGGGGGCCTGTGGTCTTATGCACACTCCAATTAGAATGAAAGAGTTAAATTCTCAGGCATAAAAAGGTTTGTAGTTGATAAAAAGAGTCTCTAGGTCTGTGTTACATGTCCTCTGTAGCACTGTGACATCTGTGCACCAACCTTCATTTACGTAGAGACAGATTCCCCCTCCTCTCATTTTCCCGAACAGCTCCATTACGCGATCCACTCTGTACACCTGGAAGCCCGGTACTTGGATTGCACTGTCCACGATGGAGACACTGAGCCAAGTTTCCATAAAGCATAAAGCAGCAGAGCATGCAAAGTCAGAGTTGGTCCTGTTGACAAAAAGCAGTTCATCCATCTTGTTGGCTAGAGAGCAGACGTTCACTACGTGGATGGATGGGAGTGGAGTCCGGGTCCCTCTCTGGCATAGCCTGACTAAGGGGCCTGCTCGCTTCCCTCGCTGGCGCTTCCTCCAGGTCCTATAGATTGCAGCTGTGCCACCGATCAGAATGTCCACACAGCATTCTTCATTCAAGAAAGTCAGAGAAAGGTGGTTTGGTGTGAGTTGTCCGATGTTTAACAGTTCTTCTCTGGTAAAAGTAATACAGAATGGGTTGCAAAAGACCCGAGAAACCAAAAAAACAACAAACACAAGAAGGCATGAGTACATAAGGCAGCCATAGTTATCGTTGCCATCTTACTTACTTTTCAACAAACTGTTTAGACTTTGCCTGTTTTTTTTTTTTTGACAGCAAATAGAGAACTGTGTGAATAAGAACTGGACCCTTACTGGCCCAGGAAAAGTTCTCCCACATTAGGGTTAGGCAAGTAGTGGTTATGGTAAGTCTTCAGGAAATGAATGTAAGTTGTCCCCTGCAGTGATGGAAACACAATTGTGTGTGTGAGTAACATCCTCATGTGGTGATGGCAAACAGAAACAATTTGGTGTC